AAGCAAGTCATTGAAAGAAAGGCACGTTCTCTGAGTATAATAACCTGTTTTACTCTGACAAAGAGAAATAACTGTCGATCACTTAAGGACTAATTTCTGACTTGAAGGCTGCCTACTAGATTCCAGAGAGGCAAAACAGATGCAAGTTGACCCAAAGTATGGTTCTCAGTACAGACGGACTTTTACTACGCACCATAGTCTGTCCAGCAGACTTGTAAACAAGATATGAGCTTGTCTATATTTGTATTTTTCTTCCATAAAGACCTATCAGATCTCTTCTATCAGTATGGTAAGTATACAACTAATATGTAGTTAGCCAAATGTTCTGTAATAATGAAATTGAGATACTCGGATAAATGTTTTTCTTTGTGAAAGCTTTTCCCGTGCATGAGTGGAAAAGTAGAAAAGCATGTTCAGGGTTTCATTTTATTTCTACAACTTCTAATGTCAGAGGCCACATGTCTATTTGGAATTATTGCCCTAAGTTTAATTCTGTGCAAAGGATTAACAAGAGGTAGATACTACCATTTTTTCCTCAAAATCACACACCTTCAGGATGTGGCAATTCACTCTCAGTCACATTGAAAATGAAATAGTCCTGCAGAAGGGATCTGGTCGGTAACTGTTAATCTAACCCTCAGCTGTTAATGATTTGCATGACGATTCCCCTTTGGTGCTGTGGCTTCAACTGAAATATTGTTTTAAGATTTTCTGTACACCGGTTCCCCCCATCCCCCTACCCCTTCTCATCTTCTGTGGAAAGGGAACTGAGTGAAGTGGATCTTAAGGTTCAGCTTCCTCTGCTTGCTTATATATGATGTGTGTGTGTGTGTGTGTGTGTGTGTGTGTGTGTGTGTGTGTGTTTTGGGGGGGTTATTTGAATAGAAAAAAAAATCAAACATTTTAAAATTTTATTTTCCAAAACTACTCTGCTGATCTTTCACAGGAAAGGAGAGGAGATAAAAATCCTTTGTAAAATGTCACAAAATGAACCTCATCTTGTCACTTAGAATTGCTGTTCATACTGTAAGAACATAATTGTTATTGTTATTCAAAATATACTTATAGAAAAAATGTGCTGTAAAGTTCATAACCTTTTACCTTTCTTTCCCAGGGCACCAGAATTAACTAGTGTGCATTTCAAGAGTGTTCTCAGTGGCTGAATGAAAATGAAAAGATCTGCATGTCCTACCCCTGAAGGCCTGTTTTGTTTAGTTCTTTCCTTCTACTTCTCTTAATTTCTGTTTGATCCCACTCCACCTCATCTTTCTTGTCTTTGGAGAGGAGGGTTTTAGTGATTGTTTGTTTTAAGAAAAAAAATATGTAGTTGATTCATGCATATTCTTTTATAATTAATTAGCAATTTTTATAATACAGCTGACCAGAAATGTGTTTTTAAGTTAGACTTTATTATTTATATGAATTATAATATTGTACTTAGACAATTACTTAATTCTCTTGTGAACAAGGTCAACACTAAAGTAGTTAAAGAAATGCTTAAACATGAACTTAAATCGATGTCTCACTAAATTCTTAATAAATCCTCTCCAACTCAGCAAAATGCATTTCCTAATTACACCTGTGGGTATTTCTCAGTTATCAAATTATTTTCCTCTCTTATCTATCATCTGAATTCTCAAAAACTATATACTTTTTCAGGTTGAACTACCATAAACAATTTTTTTAATAATAAATTTTATTCCTTGAGTAAGTTGAATGTATCTCTTTTGTGATTCTCATTTGTTTAAGAGAGACACGAAATAGAGAAAATCATATGTGACTGAATTACTATTGAAAACATTATGATAATTAACTGCAAATAATTTGTGATATTATCATCCTTTAATTTTAACTGCAGTGTCCTACCACACACTTAATTTTCTGATATGAGATAGCTATTTGTAAATTTTACTATCACAGTTATCTTACATCTATTAACTCTTTTGTTTTCTAAAAGTCCTAGAATTCAGACCAAGAAGCTCTTTTTTATTTGTTTTTGTGTGTTTGTTTGTTTGTTTGGGGGGCTAGAGCGATAGCACAGCAGGTAGGGTGTTTGCCTTGCATGTGGCTGACCCAGCTGACCTGGGTTCGATTCCTCTGCCCCTCTTGGAAAGCCTGGCAAGCTACCAAGAGTATCACGCCCACACAGCAAAGCCTGTCAAGCTCTCTGTGACATATTCAATATGCTAAACACAGTAACAAGTGTCACAATGGAGACATGACTGGGCCCGCTGGAGCAAATCAATGAACAACAGGAGGACAGTGACAGTGATAGTGACAGTTTGTTTGGGGGGCCACACCTGCTGGTGCTCCAGAGGTTACTCCTGGCACTGGGCTCAGAGTTACTCCTGGTCACTTGGAGACCGAGAGGAGTACCAGCAAATGAACTCTACTGGCCTTGTGCAAGGCAAGCATCCTATCTGTTGCCCCAACTCAGTCTCTTTTTTATGAAATAACTTTTAAGAAAAGAATTTTCTGTTAGGTTTACTACTTATCTAAATAATTTTCTAAAATTATATAATTGTTTAACCTTTTCTTGGATATCTTTAACTTTTTATTTCACTTTTTTTTAAATCCACCTTGGTTTCCAACAGGGTGTTTTATAGAAACATTCCAAAGCCATGAGTCCTGGTCAGAAGTAAAACTCTTAAAACAGTAACAGAAGCAATGGTGGGAAGCAGGAATGAGAACATTCACCAACAATGAAATGCACAGATGCTAAGGAAACCTTGTCTCATCCTCTGCCTCTCTGGTAAATCCTTACATCCTGAAGAAAATGCCACACCTTTGCTTCTCCTCTACAATAATTATGAATTATCTTCCTGAGAAGTAAACTGGAGATAAAATTATGAAGAAAATATGTCACTTACTCTCAGGTTAAATGCAAATTAGCAGTAAAGTTAAGGAGGAAAAGGGAAGGAATAAAGACAACGTGAAAATACCTTTTCTCAGATAAGCTCAAGATTTCAAGGGACCAAAATGAAGTGGTGCTTAAGATTTAAAAAATTAAATATGCTGAGAAAAACTTATGCTTGACTCAAGAAATTAATGGTAGGCAGGAGATAGCTCAGAGGACTGGAGTGCATACTCTACATGAACAAAGATCTGGTTTCCCTGAGCACCATCAAGAATGAATCCTAAGTATATAACACTGTATTTAAATATATGTCATATATACCTAAGCATGTAAGTCATATAGCACTACTGTATATGCCACCCTCGATGCCTGCCACATACAATGACACAAATAAATGAGTCAGAGGGAGAAGAGAGATAGCTCAGGTGTCAGAAATGCATGCCTTACATGGGAAAGAACCCAAGTTTTTGTTCGTTTGATTAAGGTGGTGTTTTTTGGACCACATCCTGTGATGCTCGGGGATGACTTCTGGTCCTGGTTCTGATCACTCCTAGTGGGGCTTAGGAGGTCATAGGGGTGCCAGACATTGACCACAGTCAGCCACATGTGGGCTCTATCTTCTATACTATCAACTATGGTCCCAAGAATCAAAGTTTCAGGCCTTTCACAACCACCTCACTCTAAGCTCCCATTGTTGTTTTCATTTTTTGTTTTATTTTTTGGGGGGACAACACCCATTTGTGCTCGTGCTCAGGACTGAATCCTAGCTCTAGCACTCTGGGTTCACCCCTAGCAGGTTCAGGGAACCCTGTGGAATGCAGTGAATCAAACCTGAGACTTTGCATTCAAGGCAAGCAGCTTACCACCATACTATAGCTCGAGCCCCAGTTTCCCATCTCAAGAGACACCAATGTACGTTCATACTCCCTGGAGCGCTGGTATAACTTGTATGGCTACAGCACCACTGGACCTGAACAGTGTTGCACTATCCAGCAACCATTAAACCTCTGTCCAGGTTGGCCAAGTATAGCTGGAAACTGCACTGCTTGGAGCCCAAAAAGAAAAAGAAGAAGAAAACATTTAATTGGACTTGGCTTATGAGTATTTTTTTTTCAGAAGGGAGCACTTGTGACATCTGAGTTATTACATGTAACAAAAAAAATGGAAGAAACAAATATTGCAAAAGGGAAAGGAGAGTGGAAAAACCTAAAAGCAAGACTTAACATTAAAAACATTTCTACAGTATCCTCAGGCAGTACCAGAAACCTGTGAAGAATTTCTACCACAATGACTTTACACATTTTTTGCTACAAATGAGATAGAACTAGAGACAAGAATACTTCTGAGGACCAATGTGGTAATTTAACTCTGGGTGACTTTTAAACCAGGAGTCATCTAAGCCCCAGATTGTTATGAATTTGCCAGAAACAACTAATTTTCCCCAAAGGTTACTAGACCATAACAAAGAGCTCAGACTAGGGTAAGACATTTTGAGAACTCAGGACACAGGATTTAAGGAAGCAACAATAAGTTTACTTATCTAATAAATAGTGTTTTGAGAAATATTTTTTAAAATTAAAATAAAATTGGCCAGAGCAATAGTATAGCTAACTGGTAAGCCACATGGCTTGAACTGTCCCAGGTTCAAACCGTGGCACCCATTAAGGTCACCTGAGCCTCACCAGGAGTGAGTGATACCTGAGTTACAGAGCCATTAGTAAGCCCTGAGCATCAGCAGGCATGTCCAGCCCCCCACCAAAATAAAAGTAAAAAAATACCTCCTGGGAAGCTAGAGAGATAGTACAGTAGAAAGGGCTCTTCTCTTGCTCACAGTCAACTGGGTTTCAGCTGGCATCCCATATGGTACCCTTAGTGCAACTCCAGGAATAATTTCTGTGTGCACTTTCAGAAGCAATCCCTGAGCATCAGCAGGTGTGTCCCAAATCTAGACACTCTTCCCCGCAAGAAAAATTAAAAAATCCCTCTTGAGAAAAATCTCTTAATTTTAAATAATGATATTATTTAGGGATATATGTGAAAGTAGTTGAATTCCCTCTTATATAAAATGTATGCAAAAGTTCCTTTTCACTGTGTAGAGAGGATCTCAGTCTATTCCCTCAATGTTACTAACCAACTAACTCACCTTGGAATCCGAGAAAAAACACCAGCTGATATTGATGTTAATGCATCATCTAAACGACCTGATGGCTTTCCTTTGCGAATCCAACTGACAACCAGTTCAAGCAGCATTAAGGAAATGAAAAATGGTGTTGCCTGGAAAGGAAATTACAGAAAAAAGATGCTATTGTGCTCATATGAAATTCTCTCACATTTCCTGATTAGTCATTCAGAAACTAGAAGCCCCAGTGTGACATTTCATAGCAGGAGAAGGTATATACACTTATCCTAGAGAATAATTTCCTTCCAACAGACAAATAAATTCAATTATTTTGGACATACAGTAAGCAGGTGTTTAAATTTTATCATGAAATTAGGAAATTTAATACAATCATAGTCATAGCCATAAAAATTGTGACAAAAAATACCATTGAAAAGAATGTGCTTTAAGTTAGATCTAAAGACTATATTTAAAATAAGATCCAATAACCAGAAGTCTATGTATGATTAAGTTTGGCCCACATTAAAGGGTTTTCTTTCCTATGATAATTGCAAGAATGATAAAATTGAAGCAGTAGGAATGATAAAATATTAAAGGTTATTTTAGAGAATGTGATAATCTCATATATTTGTTTTAAATAACATTCAGGTTTCTTTAATTCACCTTTAATTTTATTTCAAGTTTTCACTGTTGATCAAATATCAAGCTATCAAACAAGATTTATGAAGCTGTAAATATCATATCTTTCTTAAACTATGAGAAAGGAGTAATATAAAATCCTTACTATGAGTTTTGCTCCTTTGGAAGCTGATGGTGAGTTGTAAAGTGTTCTAAACAAAACTCTCAGAATATAGTCCCTTATGCCATTTTTTTTTTTCTATTTCTGGTCTGAACTAGACAGTGTTGTCGGAACAATTTTAAAAGGGTGGAGAATTTTAGTACTCAAGTTCTAATTCTGGATATTTCCACTTTCAATCAGAGCCAGAAACCCAAAGTGAAAAGTGCCGCTGAACACTTCAGAGTTTCAAAGAAAACTTGGTTCAAGTTCAAATTTAGGAAGTCACAGTTGGACTCAGTTCACTGTGTATCCATTCTGCAGAATCACTCTACCAAATTAAAGAGGAAATAGTTTCCTGGGAGGTGGTAGAAAAGTTTACCCTTTAAAAACAAAATTACTGTAAAGTACACGCATGGCATCTGATCATCTGGTGCAGGGAATCTAATGAAGAAATTTATAATGTCACTGTGTCCAGGAAAACTTTTAAAACTTTAATCACATTCTGCAGTTACTTATCAGGGACAGAGAATTTAATAAAAAATCGTTGATTAACAACATTAGACAAAAATTTAATTCAAGGAGCAATCCTACTTTTGCTCCATGCCTTTATGAAACTATTCATTTTTAAAACACTACATTTTGAAGAATGAAAATGAACAAAACCCGGTTATTTCTTTTTTCTAACTTACTAAAAGAGCAAAAATAGGCTCTTCCCATAGAATCTCACCTTTTTAACATAATCAGGCACTTCTTCAAGGGTTTGGAATGATGTTTCATTGGGCCTCATCACGTAAAACATCATGCGAATTCCCTGGGAAAGGGAAACATCCTGTTGGGCTTCTGGGTTCTTCATCTCTTGCTTTGTCTGATTCCCAGCTGGAGAATATTTGTGATTCAGTGTTTGAAGCCAGAGACCGAACAAAGAGGACGAGATGTGCTGCACAGAACAAGCCCTTTGTCAGGGAACAGCTAGTAACAAAGCTCCTTAGAGAGCGCAGCTCACAGATGATTCTGTGGACAGTGTCAGGGAAATACAGGGCTCAGGAACCAGTTCAGAGTTCAATGGGTGTTGGCCTAGAGCAAGTGTGGGAGGGGAAGGTGAGGACACGAGCCCAAGTCGCAGATAAACTGTGGAGTTTGGCTGTTAAGCTGAGATAGTTATGTCCCTTAGGAGTAGGAAAACTAACCAGCACCTCAACCCCCTTAGCACCTCCTAGGTAAGGAGAAGATAAAAAATAAATAAATAAATAAACGAGTAAGAGATCAAAGTTCACTCTGAAAAGTGGGTGAAAGGTAAGGCCGAAATCCCTTGAAAAACATTCCCTTTTCTGCTACTTTTTGAAATTCATGCCATGTTCAGGCTCCTAGTCTCTCCACGGAGTCATTTTCCCAGAAGGCACAGTGAGTTCTAATCTCGGTAGGATTGAATTTGAAAGTCCAAAAACGCTGAAGATAGTGTACTGCAACATAGTGTGATATAGAGTGCTGCCTGTACGTTATTGAATCATGGTAATAACTGAGTGCTTACAATCCAGTTGAGGGGCATTTGGTTTATTACATAATCACTTTGTTTAATGCGGTGTTGACTACTCACATCTGCGCTCTTCATAGAATGAGCTAGCCAGCAAGATACTTATCGCTGTTTTCCAAGAAGAGCTATAGCTGATTCTGCCTTTTAGGTAGAAGAGAGCACGCACAATTGATTTTATTACTAGTGAACGTGAGGTGACTTCTAGAGCAGCTTCAGTTCTTCACCTACTTAAAATAGATTAAGACCATTCTTTAGCTTCCACCTCATCCTTTTAAAGTGTACTTTAAGTTTGCAAAATTTGTACATATATCTAATTCAAATGTTAATGTATTGTTGTCCCAATATGTAAACTATAGATAAACATCAAATAAAAATTGCTATCCATGGGCAATATTAATAGTGTGGGAAGTGTGTAATCAATTTTGTTATTGTGTGATGCACATGTTGCTAAAATTATGCTTTGCATACAATAAAAACCATACAATAAAAATCATGAAAATTATGGGATTAAAGTGCAATACTTAAATAATGAGCCAAAAGAAAAAATAAAATTGGCACAATTACACAAAAATAGCAGCTTTATGACTTAAAAACACATGCATGTTTCATGGTAAAGGATCTGGTTCAACAGTAAAGTATGTGCCTTGCATGCATGAACCTGAGTTCTATCCCTGGCTCTACAGATAACAAGAAATGCACGTAGAATCCGATAGATATGATGCGTCATCATGAAAAAAATCTGATATATGCTCTGGAAGTGGGTATTGGAATAGTGATAATTTGAATTTTTATGGAGCACTGAAAAGAGACTATTTTAAATCAGAAATAAAGTTACAAAACCAAATAAACAATGTAACTCATAACACATTGGTAAACTAAAGACACTCATAAATTTTAATGCTATGTGCATATATGTGCATTTAATATTAGCCGGTGTTCCTAACTGACAAAGCTCATACAAGAGCACTGAAGTCAGACTCTGGTTATTTACTACTATATAATTTCTTTAGAACAAAATTTCACTTTCAAAACAAATTCTGGCTTCAACCCTGAATACAGGTTTGGGCCACAAAACAGAACAAAAGCAAAGCAAAATAAGTGTTATCATATTGTCTAACTGATCATACTTTCAGACAGTTCCCATTAAATATATGCATACACACATATACATATGTATGAATTTTATGGCATTAGGAAAGTATTTCACTTGGTAGCTTTTTTAAAAGTCATTGTAAATATAATACATTGTAGTCGAAAAACATCCAGACAAAATAGCTGTATGCAGTCATATCTTGGATATGTGGATTGGATTCCAAACCACTGCAATAAAAGCTAATATTATAAAGAAGCAAGAAACTTGAACTTTTGAGTTTCCAGTGCAAATAAAGGTGATGTTTTCACCATATTGTAATTAATAAAAGTTTGTTAAGTGTACAATAGTATTATTTCTGAAAAATGTTCAGATCTCTTTTATGTTATGAAGGGGTGTGGGAGGGCACTTCTAAATTAGTTCTTGGGGCATTATGCAGTGGCCAGTATTGAACCCAAACATCTGAAGGCAAAACACATACTCAAGGCTCTGGGCCCTTTCCCTGGTCCTAAAAAGCAAGTGAATCTTAATTAAAAATACATTATTAAAATATGCTAACCTTGTTTTCAGAATGAGTTTCTAAGATTTACCACAAACCTTTAATCTGTAAGTAATGTAATAAAACTTTAAAAAAACAGTAAAAGGAGATATGCTGGTATTAGGTTAAAAAGTATTAGCAGATACAATCCCCCCCCACACACACACATACACACATATATAGAGTCTCCCTTCGCTTCTTTATTGAGTACATTGCTAGACTTATTTTTTCCTGCAAATATTAGTTGCTATCATTTGATTATTATGATATCTATATTTAAACATACACTTTTATTTGATTTATTTATAATAGAGAATTTATGTTATTTTATGTATTGGGGGTGGGGTATGTTGGAAACATTTTCTGTGCTCATTCATGGCAGGCTCAGTGGTCTACATATAGCTGTCGGGGATCAAACCCAGGCAGCATGCAAGGTCTTACCTGCTGTACAATCTTTTCTGGCCCCAGAAGAATGTGAAAAATTGATATTCCCTTCTTGGAATCAATAAGTTATCAGGAAGAATCGTCCACTAAGTATAGATTTCTCCCAATAGCTGCAAAGTGTTCTTGTGAACTCTCTGTCAAAAGAGCTTATGGTAAAAAATCAATTGCTGCAAATTTATATAAAAATATTTCGGCATTCCCAGAATCAATCTATCAAATCATACCTAGTAATAGATGAAACCTAAAATTATATTAAGCGGTAGCAAGAGCAAGATCGATATGATAAATACATAGCCCATAGAGTTGCCAGGCAAGGACCTTAAGAGTACCACGCTCCCTGCTCTGTGTGTGCCCTTGCCCCAACAACAGTTGTTGAAAAAAAACAAATTAAAAAAATGATGATACTATTTTCAGTTTTGTCTGTCATCAAAGTGAAAGTCCAGATGAATAAGAACTCAGATGATAGCTCCAAAGGATAGAGTATATGCAAGAGGCCTTGAGTTTGATCCCCAGCACTCTATGATATCCTGAGCACTACAGGATATAGCCTGCATGTAACCCCTGAGTACCAAGAGATAGACATGCTGGTCCCCAGACTCATGGGTTGAATATAAATTCAATATTGGTAAATACATGCAAAATTTTTACTTTGATGATTGCTGCCAAGTTTAAGTTCAAAGTCTTGCTCTTGATAACATGTGCTACTATCTATTTTTTTATTTTTTTGTCTTAGGGAGCCATACCTGCAAGGAGCTCCCACAAAAAAGGCGAATGTTACATTTTTCTGAGACATTGTCCATGCAGTAATTATTCATCTTTTAATAGTTTTTATCTAATTAGGAAAATAATACTTATATTAATTTGAATTTCCAATTGACTAAATTTTTTTTCAATAAATTTTTCTACTACCCAAAAATAACTTTATGTTGGCTTATTTTTTTAACTCTGGACATTAGAGTTGAAAGCCATTCCTATGTCACTATCTAAAAAAAGCTTATTTATAAGATTTTATGTATATATGTATATGCACATACAGATTTACTATAGAAATGTAGAAAAATCCAAAATATGTTTAAGGGGGGAAAGTAAGTAATAGTAATACCACCAATCAGTCAGAATTCCATAATGTATTAACATATATCTTATAACTTACACTTTTTTTCCAGTGATATCATTTTACATCTGTGAACTCACATTGACTGTAATGTTAAGTCAACCTTTATAAAATTTGGCAGCCACATGATGAACGACTAATCCTCAAAATAGAAGATGTCTTGGTTTCTGAATCACCCGTGAATGAGAATATTTTACATAAACAAAATTTAAACCTGCAATATATTTGATATTTGGGTTGTTACTATTTAAAGCTAATGTGCCCTAATACAGATCAAAAGAGCAATAGATGATTTTAAACAAAATAGTCACATAATCTGATCTAGTATTATCCCATGATTTATACATAAAAATTAGACTTCAGAGAGGGAGAGTAAAAGTAAGGGAGGATGTTTACAAAGAACATAATCCATGAAATACATATTGGTCATATTCACAGGAGTAGTTATAATGGGGACTCTGTGCCAGGCTGTTTTCACTTGGGGCACCCCAAAGTGGGGCAGGTGAGAGCCCTCCCCGCCCCAAGTGACCCAGCCCCAGCAGCTGACCTCCACTACCCAATCACCACCACACCCCAGGCCTCTTTTGTAAGACACATCGTAAGACACTTCCTGCCCATTTTTCTTCATTGCCGTGCCATATTTGAAGGGATTCAGACATTAGGCAACAAATTATATATATATATATATATATATATATATATATATATATATATAGGCTGGAGCGATAGCACATAGCATTTGCCTTGCTTGCAGCCAACATGGCCAACTCGAGTTCGATTCCTGCATCCCTCTCGGAGAGCCCGGCAAGCTACCGAGAGTATCTCGCCTGCACAGCAAAGCCTAGAAAGCTACCCGTGACATATTCGATATGCCAAACACAATAACAACAAAGTCTCACAATGGAGACATTACTGGGCCCACTCGAGCAAATCAATGAACAATGGGAGGACCATGACCGTAATATATATATATATATATATATATATATATATATATATATATCTTGGCAAGTTACCAAGAATATCCTGCCTACATAGGCAGAAACTGGCAAACTCCCCATGGCATATTTGATATGCCAAAAACAGTAACAATAACAGGCCTCATTCCCCTGATCCTGAAAGAGCCTCCAATTGTTAGGAAAGATGAGTAAGAGAGAATGCTAAAATCTCAGGGCTGGGAGGAATAGAGACATTACTGGTGCCCGTTAGAGTAAATCTATGAACAACGGGATGACAGTGATACAGTGATACAATGGTACAATTATAGGGGAAGGAGGGAGAAATGCAAGCATTCTTAATTAAGT